GTAACGTGGTACTACCGTGTAACAACCGTTCAGCTACCGTGAGAGCTGAGTAGGCAACAGAGGCTTGCCCATTCCTCAAAAATAAGCGGATGTAGCGGCGGTAGTAAGAAGCAGGAGTAACGCACAAGCGGTACTACCATGTCACTGCCGCTAATTATCCAGAGGGCAATAGAAGACATTTCCCAAGTGGTAGGACGCGTGGTAGCTCGTAGCGGAAGTACTGCACAAGTGGCACTACCGTGCCACTTCAACTAATAGACCAAAGAGCAAAAGAAGCTCCAGCACGGGTGGGAGTTGGAGCGGCACCAGTCTGCGGAAGTACCACCGAAGCGATGCTACCATGGACCTGTGTGGTACTACCGCCTGGGTGCTGCAAATAAGTTTAGTCATGTTTGAATGTATTTACAAGAAACATTCAATCACGTTTCCATAAACTTTAGATATATTCGACATGCATTTCATAAATTCCGTGTAGATTGACAAATGCATGAGATAGTTCACTAAGCTTCCATAGTACTGAAGCATATTTAAAATCATCCCAGAAAATTCTTGAAACTTACCCTATGTCAAGTCCCATTACAGAAAAGTTTCACAAAGTTTTTTCAAATTTTGAACCAAGTTTTGCTGGAAAAATCAAACCTTTCAAATTTCAGCTAACTTTGGATATATTCAGCGGACAGTTCATGCAATTTTCAATCAACTGAGGCATATTTCGACAAATGTGAGAATTACTCAACATGCATTCCACACAACTCCAGATTTTTTTTAGCAAAAGAGAGGCCACCCTCTCTGATTTCACATAATGAAACCACCTGGCCTGCTCTCCTACAAAGATGCTAAAAAAGAACTAAAACATTACAAACCAAAAGGCCCGAAGAACTCACCAACCAAAGAAAGGATCATGCAAGATCCGACATCTATATATACATAAACGGCCGCACAGGAGGCATCATAATACTTTCAGGCAAAAGTCTAAACACAGCCTTTATAATTCAATAAAACATCTATTATATAATTAAAATAAGAGTCAAACAAGCCATCACGTTCATCCACATATGCTAATATTTTTTACACCGTTTGATTAGAATAACAATGGCTAAGATTTAAACATTTTTACGTAACATGTAAATATATTTGTACTAAAGGCCGGATAAGAACGGAAAAACCTTTAGACTTAAAAGGCAAATCTCCTGTTACTAATCAAAGTCTCGAGGGAGGAAGCTGAACAACATGAAAGAAGAGAGAAGACCATAGCATCGGCAATATAGGCGACCAATCAACAGCAAATGCAAGACCCATCCATCTTTCATTCCCTATCAAGTTCTCAACCACCTAGTCAAGGTCGACAGAATTTGAGTTGAATTTCATACCTCACGAATGCATACCTCAACATACTCGATGCACATTTCACACAATTCCTGTTGAATCCCAGTCGAATACAAATTCGACATGATTCCAGTTGAGTTTCATACGCACAAAACTGCATACCACACAAATTTCAAAAGCATTCCCAGCGCATTCAAATGTACACTACAAGAAAATCTGCCTGTAGAGACGTCATATTCCATCGCTAGTGACGTGTTATTTCATCTCTAGGTAACCATAGAGTCGACTTAGTAAAACGTCCTTGGAGCGTCTCCCCACGGACCGTCTCAAAACATGTAGACACACTGGCTAAGCGTGTGTACATGGCATGCGACGCTATATTGGGACGTTCAAAAGCGCCTCTAGATAAGAGACACTATATTGGGACATTCAAAAACGTCTCTCGATATGAGACGCTATATTAGGACATTCAAAGCGCCTCTCGATATGAGACGCTATATTGGGACGTTCAAAAGCATATGTACATATGTAGAGTTGTTGTGTTAGATGCCCTTATTGTGTTTCTACTTGCAAAGCTATATAGAGACGGTATATTCATCTAATACGTAGTATATAACTGTAAACATTATTTGAATTTGTATTTCATCATTTCAATCTGGTTACTTTATCATGGCACATGCCTATGCAGAATGACGAACAAATATCGTTATGTAAAGGCATCCACCCATATCACCGGTCATATTCACAGGCAACAAATATCATTATATAAAGGGATCCACCCATATCACCAATTGTATTCACCAGCATCTTATTCACACAATGCAATCGGTAGAAACAAACACCTTGAGTACAGATCTGAATCAAATTAGACAATCATATGAAAGATGTAAATAATTAAGAAAAGATCATACAATCAAAAGTAAGTTTTCATATGAAGCTAAATCATTTACATACTACATAATATTTGTCCATTTAAAAACTAATTCTTCTGTAGTTGCTCCTGGCTCCTGCAATGCACTCCTTTTCTAAACCTTGAGCTACCCTGAAAAAGAAAGATAATGGAGAAAAAATAGAACGTGAGATTTAAGAGTTGTGTGAGAAGAAATGTACTTTGATGAAATTGTAAGAGAGGTACCATACCAGTGTTTGGTGGCTTGTTTTCAGACTGTGTAGGAGTGGTTGAGATTGGTTTTTTAACCTAAAAATCACAGAGATTCTTCATAAATAATAAACCTTAAGTATGTACATTGGAGCATAACTGATGATTGTATGGAAGTGTACTTACATGTGATAGAGGCCATGCAATAACATGACCAATGACATCCCCTACTGTTTGGAATTTTTCATATGGTCTAACCAGTCTCTCATTTCTTGAAAAAAAACTGCTAGATATTGCTCTCCAAGCATGTTTCGTCCAACCACATATCTACTCGCTAAAGTTCCTTCAGCCACACATTTATTTTTGCTTGTCAGGTTCAACGAAAAGAACAAGACTTTCATTTTATCCTATGTTTCGAAGAAATGAAACATTCATTATCACAAGCCGTGGAAGATTTCACTTCAATGCAAAAACAGACGGTTGCACATGGAATTAGACCAACTAACTATTCTAACCATTGTCATTCAGCATATACATACATACATACCTTCTTAGTGACATGATTAAGCTGTACACTTGGTTTCAGGACCACCTTGCTTGGTCGCATTGCCATTGTTTGATTCAGGATAATCATATGCTTTCTACAGTTAAGGTTAAGTTCAGTTGTAAGTAAACTTATACAAAACATAGACATTGTTTAATAACAAAGCTAAAATTTGTGCGCGCACGCACACACACACACCTTAGCAACCGCGTGTTCATGTGGTGAAGATAAACTGTTGCGACCCTCTTTTGTTCTCGCGCAATTGCTAGGATGCAACTCCTGGTTAGAGAACTGCTTGTCCCCTAAAGTTGATTCTGCACAGCCTTGATTGAACCCTATCAATTTT